CATCCCAAAGGGTCCTGGGAGTGTCCTTGGAGCATCCCAAAGGGTCTTGGGAGTGTCCTTGGAGCATCCCTGGCTGTGCCTGAAGCAGCCCAGATAGGCCCAAAGGGTCCTGGAGCATCCCAAAGGGGTCTGGAGCATCTCAAAGGGTCCTGGAGCATCCTAAAGGGGTCTGGAGCATCCCAAAGAGTCCTGGAGCATCCCAGAGCATCCCAAAGGATTCTGGAGCATCCCTGGCTGTGCCTAGAGCATCCAGAGCATCCCAAAGGCTCCAGCAGCATCCCTGGAGCATTCCAAAGGGTTCTGGAACATCCCAGAGCACCCCAAAGGGTTCTGGAGCATTGCTGGCTGTGCCTGGAGCATCCCAGAGCATCCCAAAGGGTCCTGGATCACCCCTGGAGCATCCTGCAGTGCCCCTTGAATATCAACAGATCACAGATACCCCTGAAAGCCCCACTGGAGCATCCTACAACATCCTGGAGCCTCTGAGGCTTCTCTGGAGCCCCACTGGAGCATCCCACAACATCCTGGAGCTTCTGAAACGTCCCTGGAGCCCCACTGGATCAATCCAGTGTGTCCCTGGAGGATCTCTGGACTTCCCTGGAGCCCCACTGGATCAATCCAGTGTGTCCCTGGAGGATCTCTGGACTTCCCTGGAGCCCCACTGGTGCAATCCAGTGTGTCCCTGGAGGATCTCTGGACTTCCCTGGAGCCCCACTGGATCAATCCAGTGTGTCCCTTGAGGATCTCTGGACTTCCCTGGAGCCTCACTGGAGCAATCCAGTGTGTCCCTGGAGCATTCCCGGACTTCCTTGGAGTCCCTCCCCCTGGAGCAGCCACTCGCGCAGGTATCCCGGTCCCTGAGCCGCCCCCTCTCCCGCAGATCTCCGGTACAACGTGTCCCTGGAGGAGCGGATCCCGGGATCCCGAGCCGCCTTTGACTCCGGCGGCCGCCGGCTGCTGCAGCGCCGCACGGAGCTGCGGCTGGGCGGGCAGAGCTGCGCCCGCGTCCCCTTCCACGTCCTGGTCAGCCCCGGGCTCCTCCCCAGCCTCATCCCAGCCTCATCCCGCCCCCATTGCCGGGCTCCGGCCGGAACGGAGCTGATGGGACCCCCCCGATTGTGCAGGACACCTCGGATTACCTGCGGCCCCTCAGCCTCAGCCTCACCTGGGCGCTGGATGCGGCTGCGAGCGCGGTGCTGGACGAGGCGTCTCCCACCAGTGTCCGCAAACTGGTGTGTACTGGGAGGGTACTGGGAGGTCCCTGGGCACCGGGATCACCCCCGGGGCACCGGGATCACCGCCGAGGCACAGGGATCACACCCTAGGGCACTGGGATCAGCGCCATGGGTATCGGGATTACCCCTGGGGCACCGGGATTACCCCCTGGGAACTGGGATCACCCTCTGGGAACTGGGATCACCTCCCAGCACTGGGATCATTCCCGGGCATCGGGATTGGGCACTGGGATCACCCCTGAGGCACTGGGATTGGGCACTGGGATCACCCCTGGGCACTGGGATCATCTCCCAGTACTGGGATCACCCCTGGGCACTGGGATTGGGCTCTGGGATCACTCCTGAACACTGGGATCACCCCTTGGGAACTGGGATCACCTCCCAGCACTGGGATCGCCCCTGGGCATCGGGATTGGGCACTGGGATCACCCCCGGGCACTGGGATTGGGCACTGGGATCACCTTTGGACACCAGGATCACCCCCGGGCACTGGGATCACCCCCTGGGGCACTGGGATCACCCCTGAGACACCGGGATTGGGCCCTGGGATCACCCCCGGGCACTGGGATCTCCTTTGGACACCAGGATCACTCCTGAACACTGGGATCACCCCTGGGAACTGGGATCAGCCCTCGGCATTGGGATCACCCCTGGGGCACTGGGATCACCTTCCAGTACTGGGATCATCCCTGGGCATCGGGATTGGGCACCAGGGTCACCCCTGGGCACCGGGGTCACCCCTGGCTCCTTCCAGATCCCGTTTTTCAAAGATTGCGGGAACGACGACGAGTGCGTCGCTGACCTGGTGCTCAAGGCCACCACGGACATCATGGGCTCCAGGTACCCCTGGTGTCCCCCCAGTGTCCTCGTAGTGTCCCTGGGATCCCAGGAGCCCCCTGTGACCCCCCTGGCCTCCAGGCAGAGCCCTCACATCGTGCGGAAGGGCCGGAGGCGGATGCTGGTGGATGTGGAGCTGGAGAACCGGGGGGAGAACGCCTACAACGCCAGCCTGTGGCTGCACCTGCCTGGGAACCTCCATTTCTCCAGCCTCGTGCTCCAGGTACAGCCTGGGGGGAGCCCAAATCCCTGAGGAACCCCTCAGAAATCCCTGAGGACCCCCTTCAAGTTCTTCCACCAAATCCCTGAAGAGCTCCTGCAAAATGTCCCACCAAATCCCTGAAGAACCCCTCCAAATTCTCCACCAAGTACGTGAGGAGCCTCTCCAAACTCCCCCACAAGGGTAAAGATGGAGACCCAGGTCTTTGGAGAATCTCTGGGTCATTCTTGTCCCAGGTGGGATGGGTTGGAGTCCCTTGGGTCCCCAAAGCCATTTCACAGGGGACAGGGTTTTTACGTGGGGTCCCCAACTCCTCCCTGGTGGGACGAGGAGCTCCATGGTGTCCCCAGCTCCTCCCAGGTGGGTGACCATGTTCTGTTGGTCCCCTGTGACCCCCAGGATCCCATGGGGGTTGTGGGGGTGGTCCATTGCTGCCACCTGGCCGTGTCCCCAATGTCCCCGTGGTGTCCCCGGCAGGATCCCAGCTCGGTCAAGCTGGAGTGCTCAGCCCTGGGGGGGCACCGCCGGCGCTGCAGCGTGGGCTACCCCGTCTTCCGCTCACAGGCCAAGGTAGGACCCCCGAGAGACCTCCCCGAGCCCCTCGGGACCCTCCCAAATTCCCCCCCATGCCCCTCTGGACCCCCACCCCACCCCACCCCACCCCACCAGGTGTCCTTCACCCTGGAGCTGGAGTTCAGCTGCTCCGTCCTGCTGGACCGCGCCGAGGTCACTCTCAGGGCCACCAGGTAGGGGTGGGGATGGGGTTGAGCCCCCCGTGGGGAGGGGCTGCACTCGGGGGGGGGCGTGGTTGGAATTTGGGGACACTTCCGAGTGTCCCTGTTCCCCCCTCCAGTGACAGCACCGAGGCCACAGCGGAGGACAACGCGGTCAAGCTGTCCGTGCCCATCCGCTACGAGGCCAACCTGTTCCTGTCCAGGTGGGGCTGGGGGGGCGAGGGGGGACACATCGTGATGGGTGTGACCCCCCCTGTGCACCCCCCACCCCCAAAAAACAGCTACCTGCAGAGTGGGGGGGTCTTAGAATGGGATGTGACCCCCCTGTGTGCCCCAAAAAACACCGACCTGCAGAGTGGGGGGGACACATCGTGATGGATGTGACCCCCCCGTGTGCCCCCCACCCCAAAAAACACCAACCTGCAGAGTGGGGAGGTCTTAGAATGGGATGTGACCCCCCTGTGTGCCCCCCACCCCAAAAAACAGCGACCTGCAGAGTGGGGGGCTCAGGAAGGGGGATGTGACCTCCCTGTGCGCCCCCCACCCCAAAAAACAGTGACCTGCAGAGTGGGGGGTCCTAGAATGGGATGTGACCCCCCTGTGTGCCCCCCACCCCAAAAAACACCGACCTGCAGAGTGGGGGGTCCTAGAATGGGATGTGACTCCCCTGTGTCCCCCCCACCCCAAAAACCACCGACCTGCAGAGTGGGGGGGACACATCGTGATGGGTGTGACCCCCCCTGTGTGCCCCCCACCCCAAAAAACACCGACCTGCAGAGTGGGGGGTCCTAGAATGCGATGTGAACCCCCCCGTGTGCCCCCCACCCCAAAAAACACCGACCTGCAGAGTGGGGGGGTCTTAGAATGGGATGTGACCCCCCTGTGTGCCCCAAAAAACACCGACCTGCAGAGTGGGTGGTCCTAGAATGGGATGTGACTCCCCAGAGTGGGGGTCTCAGGGAGGGGATGTGACTCCCCAGAGTGGGGGTCTCAGGGAGGCGATGTGACCCCCCCACGACCCCCCCGTACCCCCCAGTGACACCAACCTCCATCGCTACGAGCTTCCACCCCCGGGCACCTTCATCGCCAGCTCCAGCCCCGAGTTCAGCACCACGGTCAAGGTGAGAGGATGAGGAAGATGATGGTGAGGAATTGGAGGGACCCCCCCCTTGACTCATGGTGACCACCCCCCCACCAAAAAAAAAATTCAGGTGCAGAATTTGGGGTGCTACCCCCTGCAGAACGTCACCCTGCACATGGCCCTGCCGGCGCTGTCTGTCACCCGTGTCCTGGCGGAGAACGTGAGTCTGGGGGTACCTGGGGGAGCCTGAAGGGGAGATGCAGGACTTCAGTTCTTCAAAATTCACTTTATTGTATCCAAAATGCACGTTGTTATATCCAAAATTCAGTTTGGATACAAAATCTGTATCCGAAATGCACTTTATATATCCAAAATTCAGGTTATTGTATCCAAAGTGCGCTGTGTTATATCCAAAATTTAGTTTGGATACAAAATCTGTATCCGAAATGCACTTTATATATCCAAAATTCAGGTTATTGTATCCAAAGTGCACTTTGTTATATCCAAAATTCAG